GACAGTGAATAAGGAAGATCGTAGAAGAATTGATGCCTTTGAGTTGTAGTGTTGGAGGAGAATACTAAGAGTGCCATGGACTGCCAAAAGAACCAATAGATCTGTTTTGGAAGAAGTGCAGCCAGAGTGCTCCTTGGAGGCCAGGATGGCTAAGCTTCGTCTCTCCTACTTTGGACATGTAGTCCGGAGGAAACAGTCGCTGGAGAAGGATGTCATGCTGGGTAAGGTGGAAGGTCAGAGAAAAAGAGGAAGGCCCCTAACGAGATGGATTGGCCAGGTGGCATCATTGATGGACTCAAGTGTGGCAGTGGTAGTGAGGTTGGCCCAGGATCGGACATTGTTTCGTTCTGCTGTGCATGGGGTCGCTATGAGTCAGTTCCGACTCGATGGCACCTGACAACAACAACAACAAAGACACTGGGGAAAAAAGTTAAGTTTTTTTTTTTTTTTTTTTTTAGTATGGCGACCCAAATGAGAACCATTAGACCTATTGGCCTCCACCATAAGGTCGAAAGGGCAAAAGAACAGAACAGTCTTATCCCACTTAGAGAGGACACATGGGATTGGTTGATTAAGCTTGAGGACTGAGTCTGGATGAGAAGAATGCTGTGTGAACTTCACCTAAGATCTCTTGTATCGTTTCTCTATGCTTCAGTCCTAGTCTCTCTGTTCTTAGGCTTTTAAGAACCTGTGGAATAGACTCTTGTTAGAAGACTCCACTCAGTTACTGGAGCCACTTTGCCCTTTTGCATAGAAAGCTGGGAGTGCCAGCGAATATATATTCGATAAGTGAAGTCTTTGGTTAATGGCTTGCAGGTGGGAGGTTATGAAAGTTCAATTGCCTTGCCTTGAGTCCATGCAGACTCTGAGTGAAATTCACATGTAGACTGAAGTGAAGCTGAGCCTCTGTCTGGATCCCACACTCTAATGGTTTCTTCCCTTTCTTGTCCCAATCTCCCATTTCCATCATCAGTTCTTATAAAGGGACAAGAAAGGGTCTGCTTCTGATTTAAGACATATGGGTGCTTCATTTTGAAGCCTGGGTGAAATAAAGGTAGATAGGTGTGGGGCTGACTCTCAGAATTTGAAGGTTAGGAAAAAAGCATCTGTTTTTTATAGATATAGAAACTATCTTTCTGTAGATACAGAAATATGCTTGTGCTCTGTAGAATGGTCATTTAATAGTTGGATTGATGTTGTGACATGGCACTTCAATTACAAATCACCTTGTTGCATATTTCCCTGGATAGAAGGCAGATATGCAAAACTCCTGGTCCAGTTGCTAGTCTCTAGAAATCTTTCATCTATTTTTTTATTTTAAGAAACCCTTACTTTTCCCCCTAAGTGAAATCTTCAGCAAAACCCAATATGAAAGTACTAAAAACAGATGGATACAGTCTTGAGAATTCTGAGATGCTGCCATCACACTTCAAGGCTAAAAGTAGCATCAATACAATTTTGAACTGAGGTGAAATATTCTACGCTACTGTCTGCATTTCTGGCATTACTAAATAGAAACATAAAATTATGCAGGTAAAGTTCTCTTGACATTAACCATGTTAAAGTGAACATTCAGTGATAGTACATTCACAATATTATGTAAGCACGCCTCTCTGTAGCTCCAAAACATTTTCATCAAACCAAAATAAAGCCTTGTGCCCATTAAACAATTACTACCCCTTTCTTCTTGCCCCTAATCCCAGGAAACCACCACTCATTTTTTTTTTTCCCTAAAGCTTTACCTATTCTGGATAGTTCATATAATTAGAACTATACAATATGCCTGGATTCTTTCACTTAAATAATGATTTTGACGTTCATCCGTGTTGCAGCATGTATCAGAACTGTGTCCCTTTTATGCTTGTGTGACTAACATTTTGCTTATCCTTTTATCTGATGATGTACTTTTGGTTTGTTTCCACTTTTGTCTGTTGTATATAGTGCAGCTCTGGGCATTTGGGTTGGAGTACCCGTTTTTACTTTTCTTGGGTTTATATCTAGGAGTGGAAATGCTGGGCTGCATAGAATTTTAAGGAGCACTAAAAAGTGGCTTTTCTTTGTATGTGTGTTTCATTTTCCTCCTCTCTTCTCTCTTTGCTTTTGTCTTTGCTACAGTGAAGGCATGGCATCCCACTGATCTGACACAGAGATACCCACTCCCAACCCCTGCATGCCTCCCACCAGAGGCAGGTGGGCAGTATTTCAATTTTCTGAATGGAAAAAGAGAACCTGCAGGGTAACTTTCTTGTTGCTCAAAGACCATCACTCAGTAGTCTTTCATGTCCTGAAGCCTGGGTCCCAGCCTTGTCTCTTGAGTAAATGCCGAGGTATGGGGTCTGCGGAGTGACTAGCAAGCCCCATGCAAAGGGAAACAATTGAAGATTTCTGCAGGGAGGGCCCAAGGCTGTCAGAAGTTCTGAAAGTGAACTTCAGGAAAAAGAGGAAATAGACTGTTACATGAAAACTCCCTGTTTACATAATTGGATCAGAACCTGTAAAATTTTGTAAAAGTAAAAAAGAAATTAAGTCTCCACACCAATTGCAGTCAGAGAGTGGACTATTAACCTTTAGAGAGAGGGTCTTTAGCTCTTTTGTGTTTGAGGACCTAAAAGGAGAGGTCTGAGGGAGAAGGAGGAAAAGTTTTTCTGAAAAGAGCTGGCAGGTGCTCTGTTGTGGGTGGGCATAGAGCCAGGGCCTGAGGGCAGATCCCTGAGCAGAAAGCGCCTGGCACCTTGTTCCTGGGGCTGTTTGCTGAGGCAGGGTCCATTTTAGTGTGGAATTTTCCACTAAGTTTGTGCCTGAGAGATAATGCCTGATACTGAGAAGTTGACTCTGTCATTTCTGACTCCTGGAGACTTGTACCTTAGATGTATATTGTAGCTGTTTGAAGTCAGAATGTTAGTAATTGCCTGGCACTTCTTGGACTCTGGTCCCTGTTTGTATACCTTCTGTTAAGAAGTGACCATCTAGACAAGCAGAAGCAAGAGTAATTAATCATGCTCTCCTTTAATGTTTATCCGGGCATCATGACTTTTTTTTTTTTCATGACCACTTTTTGATTTAATGTGAATGATAGAATTATAGCCCGTTTGCATGTTGTAATAATTACTACTGTTAAGAACTAGTATAAATATTATTGTAACACAGAATCAGTTGAGCCACTTAAATCTGCCTGTTTGCTGTGAGGTGTTCTGGTAATAATAATAATAATAAAGGCTTTTCTCTTTCTTTATCTAGAATGACTACTAGTTAAGACTTAATTGCTCTAAGGCATCAAAACCAAAGTTTGGGGTAACAGATTACTGCAAAGAGCAGCGCCTGAGAATAAGATTAAAATACAATTGTAATTGCGAAGTGTAATCCATGGTGCTACAGGTCAGGTAAAAGGTGGCAAAGCAAGGAAGAAGGAGAACTGGTACTTATCGGGCACATTTCTGTTGCACTGATTTTTCCATCTAGTCATGGTGTGGCACTGTAGGATAATGCACTGGACCACAAGGTCTGTTTGAACCACAAGGCCTGTGGTCCAAATTTACCAGTCGCTTCTTGGAAACCTAATACAGGGTTGTTGTGGGTCAGAACCGACTCCACAGCACTAACAACATTTATCCATGATGTCTTCCTGGTGTGTGTGGTGAATAGGCCACCAGGTAGTAACGGCAGCAGAAAAGTTCCAGAGCATGGGGTAAGAGGGAAGTTGTAAATTCTTCATCTGATACTGGATTTCTATTTGAAGAAGATGGTACATTACTAACCATGGTTGCTAAAAGGCACTGTCACAGGAATTATCAACTGTACCCCCTCTTGATACCTACTCATACTGTGTTGTTGTTAAGTGTTGTTGAGTCAGTTCTGACTAAAGTGACCCTGTATAGGGTTTTCGAAGAGCACCTGGTAGGTTTGAGCTGCTTACCCTGTAGTTAGCAGTCCAGTGTAGGATTTAAATCTTTCCCTGGAAACTGTTAGGCTTTTTGAAAACAGATATCCTATCTCATTTTTCTTTGTTGAATGCCAATCCCAAGTGATACATGTACAAACTAGACAGGATAAATGCTGGTTGAATTTAATGAATGCATGATACACACAGGCTATCTCAGGCAGACCTAAGATCTCAAGCAGCTGTAAGACTACCAGGCTAAAGAACCCACTCAGGAGTGTGAGCCGTGTATTGGTGCTACGTCCCTCTAGTCAGATCGAGCCACATACAAACACCCAGAACAGGAGCAAATCCACAGTCAGTAGTTCCCTCTTGCTCAGAACACAGCTGATCAGGAGGGGATGGAGACCTTTTATGTACTTTGTACAATAGGTGAGGGATCATCTAGTTCTTCCCCAACCAGTTTTAATTTTATATTCCAAGTGTTACTCAACTCACTACATGGATATTCTGGCCTACCCTCTAAAGGAGGGGAGTGATTAGATATGTGGACACCAGGCCAGAATTGTAAAGCATTAGCCCTGTTAATTATCAGACTTGGAGGTGGGGTTGTTTGCTCTTGAAGCCTAAGAATGCTAGAACAGGAAAGGAAGAAAAACATTTGCTATTTGAGCCCTCAGAAGAATGGCTTTCTCCCAATGGAAATTATCTCCTCCATATTGCAATACCATATTTTCTATGAATTGAACACAGAAAAATGTTGTAGATTTTCCAACATAAATTAGTATGTTTCACAAGATAACCCCAGTCTGTAATAAAATACCATTATTATTAATTTTGAAAAGATGCACAGTTATGTTTTATTTTAAATTATCATTTAATGATATGCACTGGTATTTTTATGGTTAAAATTACTTGATGTCAGAAATATTTCTTCACAATAATCTGGGGGTAAAGAGGAAATACAGTTGGCCATCAGTTGAGAACTAAAAAGTTGGGGGATTAAGACACAGGATAATTTTATTATTCTATTCTCTCCATTATTGTGTATGTTTGAAATTTTCAAAAGTAAAACCCTTCAGTACGTAAAGTAATACTGATGACCATTTTTTGCTCCTTTCTCTTAAATTGTAAAAAAATGGTTACCATGTTTGGGTACAAGTTTTTTCTCCAAGGAAATGCTAAATAGATTCTTCAGCACTTCTTCTATCTCTTCCTCATTCAGTGTCTTAAATTCTATCAGATCCATATTGTCCTTATAATTGAATTTCCGAGAGGTGAGGGTGAAACCTACTAAACAATGAACCCCTTCTGGTGTCTGCAAAGAACAAAAAGATTTGTTGGTAAACAAAGACATTGGAGATGTCTGAAGGAATGTATTCACAGACTCAAAGTCTTTACTTGTTCGAGGCTCAAGAGTAAAAGAATATATCTTTCGGTATTTTTTGTTTTCCAGGAGATCAGAATTAAGAAATTCTTGGCTTGGAATGTACTGTTCTCTTCTGATTTGGTCTAGGTACCAGATTCCTTCCTCTTCCCTCAAGCAGAAGATGCAGGGTATCTGAGGCTGGTCCTTCCCAGCAATTAGCTCCAGAGGCTGCCACATCTGGTAGGAGCATCCAAATCCAGCATCGACAACGTAGTTCTTGCTGTCGATGGTCACCTGCAACAAGACGTGAATCATGCGGCTGCTGTATTTTTCAGTTGGTGGGTTGTAAACATAACCTCCCAACATTGTCGTCTCAAAACCCATTGTGGTGAGAACCCAGTACAGGAGGTAATTGACCTGGAGACACCATCCACCTCGCTTCTTCCTTACAAGTTGATCAAAAATAGTCTCTAAGCCAAACTCCATGGCATCTCCACAATGTATGTTAAGGTTCTCAAAGGGAATAGCTTGGATCTGGTGTTGAAGGATGTCAGTCAATGTTTCCAAGTCCAATTTCCTCCTAGAGTCTGTATACCCAATTCTTTCAAAATATGCTTCAATGTCCATTATCCCTTAATGAAAGAAAATAACACAAAGCAAAAGTATAAAAAAATTATTTGGTAGCGTAGTGATTATAAATTGGGCTATTAACTTCAAGGTCAGCAGTTCAAAACACCCAGCAAGAGAAAGATGAGGCTTTCTGCTCCCATAAAGATTTGCAGCCTCAGAAACTCTGTACAGGGTCACTATAAGTCAGAACTAACTCCATGGCACATTATCACTAACCACCACCAATTAGAGCTATAACATATTTTAAACATTGAATTACAAGCAATGTAATTATAAATATTTGTAGCACGAATCCATTTGTTTAGTGCTTTCATGTAAGAATTATCTTCATTGTAAGTCATTTAATATTGGCCTCAAACAAATGAAGACTTTGACTCTGTGAATATATACCTTTAGATATCTTCAGTATCTGTGTTTACAAGTGAATCGCTTTGTTTGTACTCATTTATACTTTTACTCCTCCATTTTTAAAATATGAGCAAATGGAAATCTGATTTAGTGATGAGACAAATGAC